TTCTCTAAACTAAATAATCCCAGTTCCCTCAGTCTTTCCTCACGAGTCATGTATCCAAGGCCCCCAACCATTTTTGTTGCCCTCCAATGGACTCTCTCCAGTTTGCCCACTTCCTTTCTACAGTGGGGGCCCAAAACTAGACACAGGACTCCAGATGTGGCTTCACCAGTGCAGAATAGAGGGGAATAATCACTTCCCTTGAAGTACTGGCAACACACCTACCAGTGCAGCCCAGGATGCCGTTAGCCTTCTTGGCAACAAGGGCACACTGCTGGCTCATATTCAGCTTCTTGTCCCCTGTCACCACCAGGTCCTTTTCTGCAGAGCTGCTGCCCAGCCCGTCAGCCCCCAGCCTGTCCCAGTGCATGGGATTGGTTCCATCCTAAGTGCAGGATTTTGTACTTGTCCTTGTTGAACCTCATGAGATTTCTTTTGGCCCAGTTCTCCAATCTGTCTAGGTTACTCTGAAAATAAGTAGAAGCACTCAGTTTCAAGATGTCTTGAACTAATTCTAAATATTAATTAGCACTCCCAGATGGTAACCGACACACTTGGCCTTCTGAATCTGGAGACCATGCTGAAGAAGCCTGGATTATGAAAAGAAAATATAACAAAACTGAAGTTTACACTCCTGCATTTCACTCCTGTTCTACTCTCAGGGATGCAAAGGTTCAGCCAATTTGCTTCCAAATGCAAAAATCAAAGAATGCATATACAACCTTGGTTGCAATTTTCTGACATAATATATTCACCAGTAGTGCATGAATGTAAGCACAGACTACCATACAGAGAATAAACATACAGAACAGTTTGTTTATGAATGCAATAAAGAAAAAGTTAGTGGCTAACTAACCTAATTTAAAAGCTGTGTAGTCTAAAGTTCAAATTACAGGCCTCTGTTTAAAAATTAGTGATGCCATCCATCAAACCAATCATAAAAATCCCATACTGTATTGTGATAGCCTGTTGTTTGCTCACATAATACTTTTCACCTAAAACATGTGTCTGCTAAATTGTGTTCTGTATTTTTCCATGACATTGGTGATTAAATAAAACACAGCAGCTAGCAATCATGTATTTTAATACCCTAAGTGCATACAACAAAATATCCCTAAAATACATATTTCAAAACGTACTTTCCACCAACTTTGATTTGCAAAGATATAGGTTGTGAGGCAGAGGTTTCCAAAAACTGTGAAACTGCAGACAGGGCTCTTCTATAAACAATACATTTTTATTGGAATTTCCTGTTAAAAACTGTTTAGAATTGCCAAAATAACTGTTTACTTTCATAAAAATTCCACATCAGTGGAATGGCATAATAACTTGCAGGAGGAGCTCCACTGGTAGAGTCTGTGTTACTTCCCACAGAACACAGCTATTTTTCTGGAACTACAGTTCCACTTCAGGGTGGAGCCAAAGCATCTAGTAATTCATTTGCCAGTCTTTGTATTTATAAGTATATAAACACTGAGCGTCCTTGCACTGCTGCAGTGTTAAATCAGAGGGTTACGCTCAGCAATGCTGAAATATTACAAATAAACTTAATTTGTTCTTCTGCCTGGAAACATTAGCAAAAAAGAGGCAAGTCGGAATGAAAGAAGTTTGGATCTCTCCAGCCTGTCATCAGTCTTATCTAATGCTTACTACTCTGTCTAACACTTCCAGATTTCCTAAACGGTCTTTACGCGATGGACTGGAAACATGGGTTTTACACCTTACACTAGAATTTTAGCTCCTGTTTCTTCTGCTCAAACGGCCTTAAGTTTTGATCAGCATACCTTCAGAGTTCAAGGTAATAAGGGTAACATTGTTCCCAATACTTTGGCTTCCTATCTGGCCACTGTTGGAAACTGAATCACTGGCCTCAGAGCCGCTCTCCCCATCTTCATTGTGGCTGTCATCATGCCCTGGGACCTTCACCACGATGGTGTTTTGTCTACGTCCAGGAACAGCACTGAGAAAAAAAATGAAGAATTCACAAACTTTGGGAAAAGCAGGATTCTAGACTCAAAAAATGTAATGTTGCACCCACTAGGTGATTAAAACATTAACTCTGACTTCTAATTCATTATGTGGGTCCTCTTACAAACCTTAATGAAGTGATATCCAGCTTAAAAATCTGCAACAGTTGAATAACTCAAGATGGAACCACCATTTTTCCTGCACGCATCTCAACGGCAGATGTTTTACATGAACTTAGTCAAGTACATATTATAATTGTGCAAATTAAATTAATCCAAAATGCTTTTGATATTAACAGAAATTAATGCACAGAAAGCTATGCACAAGAATGTTGTTTCTTTTTTAGAAAACATCAAAATATGACTCGCTGGAGGAGATTAAGTAAAAACTAAGCCATTTGCTTCTGATTCAGATGAAGGACAATCAATGGAAAATTGAACACAGTATGATGAAAAAAATGAATTGGCCAAATTAATTCCCCTCCCCCCCCACATTGTTCTTGGCTAGTATATTAAGGAAGCCTTAAATAAAATGTATAGTCCAGTAAGATGCTTGGCATGAAAGATTAATAGAAAACATTTGACTTCCCTAGATTCAAAAAATGAGCAAAGCTAGTACCCAGAGAGAGACAATACCCTTTAAAGATATTAGACATGTTAACAGTAGCACCACTTTTCTAAAATAAATTTGTTTGCATACATTGCCATCAAACTGCATGAACAAAAATCTATAGAACCTGACTGGCAGATCTAAAAATCACATGCATTATTAGATAAAAACATTTTGCAAAGATCAGTATCTGTCTAAAAGCACACACTATGCGGTTACTATCTAAGGTGACCTACCTGGAAGAGAACGGTTTTTGTTTTGTTTTTTTAACTGTATCAATGAAATGTGAATGCACAATATGCAACTGGTAAGAACAAAGTGATTTCTAAACCTTATTGTTTTATTTCTCGCCTGTTTATTTGAAATATTATTCTCTATGGAGCTATTGCTTCCAGGAAACTTGCTGAAATATACTCTAGACACAATACAATGTACGGGCATCACATAGCTCGTGAGCAACTTTTGTTCAAGGAACTGGGGAGTCTTAGTACAGTGCAGGTGGACAGGGATCCACATCACGGAAGCCTGTCACACAATGAGCAGCCTTCTCCACAAGCTCTAATAATATGAATAATTCAACGGGCCACAGACTGAACTAATCCCTCCTGCTCAGAGGCACTCCCTCCTTGCCAGCACTGACATACAGTGCTGTACCTCTTCTGCTGATAGCAGACTTCACTACGCAGCACTCTTGACCTCGCACTTTTCATCAGCACTAGAATACTTTTCCCCTCTGCTAGAAAGAACCATCATTTTGCACTTGTAATTGCAGCACACTGACATTTACTGCTTTCACGATAGAGCTAATACAGGATGGGGAAGGATTATAGTAGTCGCTACTAACTTGCTAAGGATATTTTCCAGAGAATCCGCTGTTCTGCTCAATGGCTCTTCCTGCCCCACCATCTTGGCTACAATTGAATTCTGCCGATCGTTGTTCAGTATTACTGTGGTCTGGGGAACAACACTACAAAACAAAATGAGAAAGGACACAAATGCAATGTAAAGGAGCAAACCTTTTTAATAAAACATTAACCTTAGCTTTGACATTTTAAAAAGCTCTCGTTCCCCCCAACCGTTAACATCACAGCTATTTGCTAGGGTGCAAATGCAACGGTTTGTAATCCATCCTATTTGATATCTGTACCATTCCAGGAACTCGTCATTCTTTCTGGAAACCGACTCCTTCGTTGGAATTATGTAACAGTCTATGACCCCTGGCAGGAAGATGAAGAATTTATCAACTGGAGACAGGCAGGAGGAAGTCTGTAAACCTCTGTTCCAAAAAGCCTTCAAATTTCTGCTTTACAAAAAAATTGTGTTTTTTTGGTAAGAGTGAACATGTTGTCAGTATTATGAGCGACTAACAAGAAAAAGTACGTATTTTTTTATGGGTATGTCCCCAAAGAAAAGGGATGGAAAAAGTTTTTTGCTAAAAACTAGGATGATGGGCTTAATTGAAACGGTACCTAATGTTTTAAGTTTTAGAAAAAGGATTTGTTAAGTGCAAAACAGGAAAAGACACTGAGTTTCAGTTCCCAATGAGACTAGACCATTACGTATGGGCATTTAAGGTGCAAAAAAATTTTACAAACAGAATCCATGGATAAAGTGGGACGCATAAAATTTTAAATAAATAAAGTAAATAATTTTATTTAGCATACAATTTATCACTTTGTTTTCAGAGATCATCCTTCTGTTCTTCTTCATGACACTACAGCATCTTTTCAGTGTGGGATAATTTTAAATATTTTCTTTGTACTCAAAAATAAACTCAATTACACACATTTTCTTCCATGTTGTCCATTTTGTAGTGATGAGAGGATTAGTTAATTTCTCATCATTTCACATGCTAAATATGTACCTGTTGTTTTTCTTGATCAACATCTAAAAACATCATTGACAGTCATTTTATTTTGCTTAACTTCATTCTTTGGCATGTACTTGAGTCACAGTCACAAGTAAACACATTTGATGACAACTGCTTGCATGCACATACATGTGTGTATCTATATATCTATACTGATAGATATATCTACATATAAAAAGCTCTATTTTGCATCTAGCAGTGGAAGCCTGTACTTTGGGAGCTAAAAGAATAAGGTTCTAGTCTACCCTGCCAATGTGCAGTAACAGTCTGTGTTGCCTGCAACAAATGGGATTCATTATAAATTGCCAACCATCTGTCAGATTTGAAATCCAGTGAAAAGTAGATACTCCAGAGAAGTTTTGCCTAACTGTAGATGAGCACAGAATGTGCTGGGCTTGGTGTGCACAGGTTTGAAGTTCAACGATCGCAAATGTAAATAAATACATAACATCTTAAAACTTATAATAAATCAAGAGTCAGGCTCCAAAAGATTGTGAGACCAGCCTAAAATCATGGAAAGGAGGAAGAAATATTAAGCTTTTTATTTTTATTTGCTTTCTGATGTCAGAGCATTTACAGTTCACTTAATATTTTGTCCACATCTCTGTAGATGCTTATTAAAAATTAGCAACTAATGAAAAAAATTAAAGCATCTCAGCTTTCACACACTTTTGATCATAGCTCATGTCAAATTATGAGATTCTTGATGAAACTGTAAGTTACCAACACTAGGAGTTGTCCCACCTTGTTAGATATGCTCACTTTTAGTGATTAGGACTTGGCTATCTTTCTCTCCCCATTTTACAGGTATTGCATATGACTGACTTTCAAGAAATTTTATTATTTCTGCTTTTAGACACTCTGCTCTTTAACAGCAACTGCCACTTTTGCAATACATTCTGAATGTATGTTTAAAATGTCACTTACAAAAGTTTAATTATTAATGAATACTCTAAATAATTAATTGCAGCTAAAGAGATAAATGCAATAAAATTAAAGCTTCCATTCATGGAGTCCTCAGGCTTTTGCTCATATTACATCTATTCTCAAAAAAAAAAAAAAAAAAAAAAGCCTTAGAACTGGGAACTGACAAAAATAGACAGAAAAAAAAACCTTTTCCCTTCATAAAGAAATTAATTTTGAAGAAAATTTTAAAGCATGTCTGATGGTATTTAGTTAACTTAAACCAACTTAAAAATGAGGAAAGACCACAGTGTAAGCCACTAACACCAGATGTTAAGGGGCACATCAGATACTACAGTATTCATTCAGGTAAAGTTGGATTTCCAACACACCATTTTTCTCTTACCCTGGGGGCCCTTCTGCAGTGGCACCAAAGTAGGCTTAAAACTGTTTCACATTAGTGTGGAGGTACTAGGCCAAATTTAAAAGCACAGGAAATCAGCAGTCTTGCTCTGTGTCTTAATTTGCCCCAGTGGGTTAACTGGAGCATTAGTAGACATAATAGAGGAGATAAGCAGAAAGATCAAGTTTCATAAGGCACTACCACTTCTTGTAAATGCTTGTGTTATATACCCCCGGAGAACTCTCAGGCCAATGCAGACAGAATATACAAATACTACCATAATTTGAGTCTTTATACGAAAGCCACAGAACTGTCAAAGTGTGCACACGTTGCTCGCCTTTTGGGATTACACAGCTACCAAATGGAAGGAATTCCTAGAGACTGCAGTCAGAACGCAGGAATCTGAGGAGCACATTAAGTATAATGGCAAAAACTGCTAAAAAGTCCCTATTCGGAAATGCTTAGCAGAGTACTACTAATCCACAGCCCAAGATTTTAATTAAACCTTGCAATAGCTGTTTACTTGAGTGGGAAGGCTACATCTGGTCTCAGTAGAACTGTAAATACTTGCCTATCTAATGCTAGGAAATATTGGTGATATCTGCCTTGGTTTTCTGCAACTACCTTATACCAACATCATTTGGCTGGTGGGTAATACCTCAATCTCTCTGGGTAACCTGTTCCAGTGCTTTACTACCCTCTTGTGAAAAAGTTTTTCCTAATAACCTAAACTTCCCTTGCTGCAACATTACTCCTTGTCCTGTCATCTGCCACCACTGGGACCCCATCCTCTTTGGAACCCCCTTTCAGGTGGTTGAAGACTCCTATGAAATCCCCCATCAGTCTTCTCTTCTGCAGACTAAATAAACCCAGTTCCCTCAGCCTCTCCTCCTAAGCCATGTCCCCCAGCCCCCTATTTTCATTACCCTCTGCTGGACTCTCTCCAACTTGCCCACATCCTTTCCATACTGGGGGACCCTAAACTGGACACAGGACTCCAGATGTGGCCTCACTGGTGCCAAAAAGAAGGGAATAATCACTTCCCTCAATTGGCTGGCAATAGTCCTACTAATGTAGCCCAGTATTAGTATTCTTGATGTGTTGGCCATTCCTGCAATGCCAAGCTGTCGAGGATAGCCCATGACTGGAGGATGATGCGGTCCTTTCAGTAGCCTCAGTTCTACCCATTCACAACCTCAAGAAAACGGACCGTGATCAGTATTTTACAGGGACCCAATAGAGCGACCTCATGTCTGCTGCCGATGAGGCAAGGTGTTGCATTCACAATGAGGTGCCATTTACTCAAGGCTGATTGTGTCAAGTCTGAGTAGTTATTTATCTGAAAGACAAAGGTATTTACGATTTGGGACTCCTTACCAATATGCATATATAATGAGCCTTTTAGAGACAGCAACTTCTTGTGCAAGTTATTCCACATAGGAGGACACCAAAATGCATGGGACTCCATGCAGGCATAGGAGTGAATCAACTCAGACCAGCTTGCAGAAGAGAATAGGACTTTCAGGTCCAGGTTTTCAGAAACAACATGCATATGTTTGCACACTACCTTCAAAACCACCCAAAGTGCTCAATGCAAGGTCACAATCTTAGTCATAGGCAACCCCTGGGGATCTGACAGAAGTGATCTTTACAGGTTATTACAGTGTGGCATCAGGATCACGGAAACTTGCTCCCTCTCACCTTTAAACGCCCCTCCCCCAAGGAAGAAGGAAGCAGGAACCAAAAGCCATAATCAGTATGTCATCACTGAAGATGAGCAAAACCATAAAGATGATTCCTGTGCTAATATGAAAAGATCAGTGAGCAAAGGGATCAATGTTTTCGATGCCCACCTAGATCCCAAATGAAACCGTTCTTCCATCTTTACTGCCAGAATATACATTTGCGGGGAAAAAGTGAGGAAACTGGGGAAGATGGAAAATAATATGCATGGAAAAGGTCTGTGTTTCCAGAAATCCAGCTTTGTTGTATGGAGTCAGACAATTTCCATTTATATTCAAATATTCCTTTTCTCTAAAGTATTACAACTTTGAAGAGCCTCTCTGTTATTTGCATATTTCTGAATGTCATAAGAATTACTTAAAAGTCTGTATTATCTATTGAAAAGGTACATATTTATGGATTTATACACACTCTACCATGTCATAAATCCATGATATTGCTGAACACAACATTTCCATAAGTAACGAATGTGCAAAACAATGATTTTCAATCATTTACAATGTTGGCCTCTAACCTTTTTGTTTAAATATCAAAAGAATCATATACATTTTGCATAGAAAGTTTCCTGCCAAAGGTAGTTTTTAACACGGAAAATGTGTGACTCACATCCACAGCCATTAGTCTGAGCTGCTGGTTTTTCTCAGGCAATGAGCTGTCCATCAGAGACAATACAGTCAATAAAAGAAAAGAACTTTTGGCACCCCGAGAACCAGTCTTCTCCTCTTCCCTGATTACTTTTTTTGTTAGTAGAAGAGAAAAATAAAACAGAAGAAACCAGCTGACATTTTATCTCCCACAAGGTACAAGATCAGAAGCTTTTCTTCAGATTAATGGAAATGAGTTACAGAAGAACTGAGACAGGAATATTTCAGACAAGGACTTACACCTTTTGCATCTTTGGACATGCTAAAATAGACAGATGGGCTATTTTATAGCAAAATTCCAGCCTGTCGATAAGAAAAGGAGGGTGGGATGAAGGGGACTTCCAGACCCTAATGTTTTAGGACAATTCTCTTGGCTTACTTTGCATGCACAAGCCCTATTTAAA